GGCCTGGCCTTTACAGAACTGTTCGCCAATATGTAAGCCATTGTCGGGAGTGTCAACGAAGGAAGAAATTGCCTCGACGTCCGGCTGGACAACTTGTATCCATACCGCCCGTAGAAAAACCATTCTATAAGATCGGGGTTGATCTCCTTGGAAGATTTCCAGTTTCTAAAGATGGAAACCGTTGGATCATTGTGTGCACCGATTATATTACAAGGTATGCCATAACGAAAGCGATCCCAGACGGAGGAGCAATCGAAACAGCTAAGTTCCTGGTTGAAGACGTCATCTTGAAGCATGGAGCTCCTAGAGAAATGATAACAGATCGCGGCAGAAATTTCATTTCTCAAGTAATAAAAGAGATCAATGCTCTGTGCGGAATTGTGCACAGATTTACAACGGCCTACCATCCCCAGACCAACGGCCTGACTGAAAGGTTCAACAAAACTCTGGGAGACATGTTGTCCATGTACACAGGTGTTGAGAAGAAGGACTGGGACCAAGTTTTGCCCTATGTAACTTTTGCTTACAACACTGCTAAACAGGAGGCGACCGGCTACACCCCGTTCTTTCTTGTCCACGCCCGCGAGGCCGAGACCTACATCGATGCCGTACTACCCTACCTACCAGATGAGATCTCTGACGACTATGTTGGAGAACTTGTGACCAGAGCTGAGGAAGCGCGTCAACTCTCCCGATCACGCCTTTTACAATCACAGGCGAAAGACCGTAGACTTTACGACCAGAAACATACTCCAGTCTATTACCAGAAGGATGATCTTGTGTGGGTTTTTACTCCTATCCGAAAAGTAGGACTATCAGAAAAGCTACTGAAGAGATACTTCGGTCCCTACAGGGTGACCAAGAAGCTTTCAGAAGTTACCTATGAAGTAGAGCCCGTGGACCCCTCTCCCCGATCACGGAAAGCCAAGGATATCGTCCATGTCATTCGGATGAAGCCCTACCTGGACCCTGAAGAACAACATTCTATTCTACTGGGGAACACCAGCCGTGATAGATTTCCTTCCAGAACAAGGGCTGAGACAAGCTAATCAGCGGGTCGCTGTTTCTCTAAGGAGGAAGTAATGTCAAGCGGCACAGCGGTTCCAACTACGAGAGGCCCCATGGGACGCCTGTCAATCATCCCTGGACACCAGGGGGGGTGAGGGGTTCGCGGAATCTGGCCAGCGGGGGGAGCTGACATCCCTCATTAGGATTAACTCTGTCTTGGGGTAAGTCGTACACTCTATCTCTCCCTTATAATAAACTAATTATCCCCAAACTTCCCCTTGCTTTATTTATCTCCGCGACAATATTGCCAGGTGGAAAATTAGGGAAGACAAACTTCAGGATGAGACAGCAATTTATTTAAGACTAAAACATGCTATGAATAGTAAACAAAAGATAAACCACGAGGGAAATTTACAGAGTAGCAAAATATAAACATAAAAATTACCACTCCGTTAATAAAAATAATAAAATTGATAAATACTTTGTTACAATATACATAGTGTGATCAATAATTTCCAGGAATGCTAAATATTTAAAGAAATAAAAAATATAATGAAGTTTTATTTAAAATTTCTCAAAATAATCACCGTTACTATCTATACACTTGTTCCATCTTTTTTTTTTTTTCCAGATATCAAAACACCTCTGAAAATCCTAATATTTCAGGCTTTTCAAAATATTCTTCGTATTCTCCTTTATTTCAGGTATTGAGTCAAATCGACGTCCTTTTTTAAGACTTTTTTAATTTTAAGGTAAAGGAAAAAGTCGTTAGGAGCAAGTTCAGGAGAATATGGTGGCTGGGGTAGTAAAGCGATTTCGTGTTTAGCCAAATAGAGTTGTACAGTGACGGCCGTATGTGGCCGTGCGTTGTCATGATGCAAGAGCCGATTTTTCTGATGCCATTTTTCGGGTCGTTTCAGACGTACAGCCACCCTTAAATGTCGCAATACATCAAGATAGTAATATTGATTAATGGTCTGACCCTCGGGCATGAATTCATAGTGTGCCAATCCCTTTACATCAAAGAAAGTGATAAGAAGGCACTAAAGCTTCGATTTGATCATCCTTGATTTCTTGAATCTTGGTTCTCCAGGCTCTAGCCACTGACTTGATTGCCTCTTAGTCTCGGGATCATATCCGTACATCTATGTTTTATCTCCCGTGATAACATTTTTGAGCTAATGAGGATCAGAATGAGGATCGTTTAAGATGCAAATCATTCTTTATGATGGTTTGGCATGTTCCAAAAGAGATATCCAACTATTCTGATAGCTCTCTGATAGTTATTCTTGGGTTTTCTTTGATCGATGACTTGATTTTGAGTGCATTTTCGGGGTTTCTTATCGATAAGGGTCTGCCAATGTGTAGATCATCCTTGACGCTTGTTCGACCAGCTTTAAATTGTGCAAACCATTCGAATGTCCTTGATTGTGATAGAGTATCTTCTTTAAAAGACTGCTTCAACACTTGAAATGATTCGGAAGCTGTTTTCCTTAATTTAAAGCAAGACTCTATGCAGACTCGCTGTTTTTCAATACAGTCCATACTGAAGTTAGAAAATATTCTGCTATACTCGAGCTTATAAATTCGAAAAAACGTGAGCGCTTGCGTCTGTGTGATCAATATTTTTCTAAGTGTTGATAAATGTTTTATCTATAAGGTCGTTATAAAATTATTTGATTATTTTGAATATTTTACGTGATCTAGTTTCATTCCTGGAAATTATTGATCACACGTTGTATATCTCATTGTTCAATGGGGCTAAAATATTTATTTCTCCTTTTGATTGCATTTTAACAAAAGCATTTTTTAAATAAAAAAGGTATTTTTATTTATTAATTATAATTTTTAATTTATATACCAACACCTGAACCGTTTAATATTTTTTCTTGTTTTTTCACATTGTTTTTTTCGCAACAAAATTGCTGAGCAAATAAAAAAGTCGGCCGTACATTTTAGGACCCATCCTTGGTCGCTAATTAACACACGTGAGGGTCGATTGATGTGTAATATGGAAAATTACATTTTAAAAGTTTTAATTAAGTAAAAGATCGAAATTATAACTAACGATTATTTCGGGTTAAATAGGGAAAACTAGCGAAAATCTTTTAAATAAACCAAATTGTCAAAATCGGTAGCACCTATTAGATATATGAAATTAGTCAAAAAATTCTCCCTAGAAATCAACGGCTAGAAGGAATATGATTTAAAGGACTTCATATGGATTTTATAAGGGGATAGGCAGCTCAAAACTATAATACAACAATATAGGTCAGAAATGAGAGAACGCCGATGAACTTACGAAAGATTAGCAGGACCACTGCCGAGGTCAAAGGTGAAATGTACTCTTCCGGAGTCTAAGTATAGAGCGATAAAATCGCCAGGACCACCGCTTGCTTGCTGTTGGCCATTGAAGAGCAGGATTCCCGCGGCTGATGCACCAGGAACCAAATCTCCAGCGTGAACCCCAATCCGGCGTTCTGCAGCGTAGGCAGTTCCAGGAAGCTCCCGGTACTTCCGTCTAACTGCACTGTGGATGATTCCTGGTCGACGTAGCCTGACAGAAAAACACATAAAGTTATAATGCATTGGGATGATATTCATACACGCGATAAGAAACGCGTCTTCTTCAAAAAATGAATTCAAACACTGCATTTCCTCGACCTTCTCAGCGCAAAGCGCGTGGAATTTGATTCGTAATGAAGGCTAGAGACTGGACCCATGGTTGGTTTTTGTTCGAATTTCCCATAGCTGATGTTATGCGATATTCAAAAATTTGAATAAGCGTCCTTTGAAAATATAATATCGAGAAAATGCATTTTTAAAAATAGTTTTAAAAAGTGAGGTGCGCCCATTATCGCACAGAGATTTAGAAAACAAAAATTTTATTTTTCAAAAATAAAAAAAAAGGTGAGCAGAAACTAGTAGGGTTTAAAACAATGATTAAAAAGATAATTTGATAACAACCTGATTACAGAAAGTTTTTAGGAATTTTTAAAATTATCCGAATCTAAATGATTAACAAATCACATCAATATTCTATATTTTAACTCGGGCTTCGGCGTCCCACTGACGCTCTCTACAAGAAAAAATATATATATGCTAGTATTTATTATTCTGAAATAAAACTTTCAGAATAATATTTATTATCAGGAAAAAGGAGCATTCCATAATTAAAACTTTATAGCCGCGAAAAAGTATCCTGAATTTGTTTAAAATGATTTTTATTCCTTCTCCGATTAGTTTTCATACAATACTTCTTGTTGGAATCTGTTCTGGACAATCTTCGTTTTAACTGAGAATTTGCCTTATATTCCCCTTAGGCCTTAAATAGAGAATCAAATAAATATGATCAATTTTTACAATCAATTAATGGGAGATAGCTGGCACATCAATGATGTTCTCTCACAGCGCTTATGCCAGTTTAGCTCCATTTATTAGGAGGGATATATATATTTTGAAACTAAATGAATATAAATATTAAACACCACTGGATACTCTCTAAATATCCATAAATAACATAACATTATCCCGTCGCAATGAAGCGGAGAAATCTGCATATGCGCAAGCGGAGATAGAAAGGAAATTAACTGCACATGCGTCACCAGATGGCGCTAGAAAGAAGAGAACCAATGAGCGGGGTGTAATAAAACGGGTACCACGTATATATAAAAAATTAAAGCTGGAGTATATTACAGAGATAAAAATAATAATAAAAATGCACCAAGATTCATAATATAGAGGGTAACGGGGCTCTGGCACACTGGTAGTCAAAAGTCGAACTGCTTTTACTATCCATGATTATCGTGGCCTGTACTATGTGTGCTTGGGATAAGTAAAAATATTTAGGTTTGGCACAGTTACAAGTTTACAGTATAATGTATCAGTTAAGAAACCATCTTGAAACATTCCTGGAGATGACCTCTTATTGAAGGTTAAGTTAAGTGAGGTCGAGTCAGAATCTAATTCAACAAAGGTAGTGATTAAGGAAGGTTGTCTTCATCAGATGGGTCGTTCCCTTGAGGTCCATAGCAGATTGCTACTCACGTAGTTCACAAAAGCGCCCTCTGCTTCCCACGTCGCAGAGACACACGAAGCCACCCTGGGGAAGAGCTTGACAGTGCTGCCCTCTCTACATGGATTGTTGTAACAAGGGTTGATGGGGACTTCGCAGAATTGGCCTGAAGACACGTTCTGGATATGTCACATGATGTAAGAAATTTTATATACATGTAGATAAATCATATTCTAGTACATTAGCCCGTTGACTATGCCACTCTGGATTATAAGGATATCTAAACTGAAAATATATTTGTTGAGCTAACTCAGCAATTTAGAATTTAATTGAGCAAAGATGTAGATTAATAGACTGTGTATGTGTGTGCATTAGGTATACATAAGTATCTATATAAGATAAAATATATGATAGGTACCAGTAAACTTTGGAGCACAGACACACTGCAGGAAGGCCTGCGGAGGACCAAGACAGGTCGCCCCATTCCGGCAGGGGCGCCAGTCACAAGGTCCATCTGTACACTCCCGAATGTCCTTGGCCCTCAAGATGTCCTTCGAAGTGGGGAACCTAAGGTCCAGCAGCTTACGTCCCACTTTCAGACGTCGAATGCAACCCACCAGTCCTGTACGGACTCCCACGTTCTCCCAGATCCTGGATACAGACACGTTCCTTTAGTATTGTGATCTCAATGTACAGGCAGCCCCGTTAATATACTGAACCTGAACATCTTTTAAATATGCAACTGTATCTATCATATGTCTCCTTGAGTACTTTCTAAATATTGTGGCGAGAGAGTGTTCTAAATATACTGAACCTTTACTACCGGAAGTATCCCAGAAGAGACAGACGTTTAACAACTAGATTGATATACTAATATAGATTAAAATCTGACCATATTGCCATTATCATTGGCAGAAGATCGTAATATTTGACGAGACTGATGGCCAGCCTTCAAACTGAGGCTAGCACTTAAAAACTATGTTTTTTTTTTTCAAATTTGAAATAGAATAAAATCAGTCAACTGTCAGTCAAGGGACTCACCATCACTGTATTCAGGCGAATTCTTTTGAGTTTCTCTTATACTAATGAAACTAAAATTTGGTGAATTTAAAATTATTTAACACGATACTGTTCACTTTTATCTAATAAAATTAAAAAAAAACTAATATCTTAAAATACGTTTGATAAAAATTTAATGAATTTCATTAAAGCAGTTTTAAATGACAGCTTTAGAAAATGTAAATCCTGTGGTACGTGGTGAGTCGTTTTTGTGGTCTCTGGCCTTATTGAATAGGTCATCGCTTAAGAAAAGATCATTTGACCAAAAATGTTGACAGTCATTTTAAAAATGGACCTCTCTATATAGCTTAGTGTGACACATTTTAATGTATTCATAAGATCACCAGAACATAGAACCTAGACTATGGTATGAAAGAATGGTTCAGATTTACGGCCGCGGCCTTATATATAACAATACTAGCCGAATGACCCGGGCAATGCCCGGGTTTTACCCGATTAAATGTTTTTATTCAAATACTATTCGTTACAATTATAAATTGGCGCCGTGGATGTCACTCTTGTGAAACGTCCCGCTCCAAACTTTGTGTCTGAGAAGCGATATTTTTATAGAAAGATGATCTGGCTTTTGTTTTCTGCTCGGAAGAATGTTTTTCTGTTAGAATTTTGTTCCTGCGTACAAAATAATGAACTGGTTTCACCCGTGGTCTCTGCTTTTTGGAATTTTTCCCGATATAATTTTGTATCTGATAATCAAACATGATGCAGCAATATCGTCATCATCATTTTCTGACTAAAAATATATAGTTTTAATAATTGATTTATTTATTTTTTAAAATAGCCTATCGTCTTTCCCGTATTTTTTACCTATGTATTGAAATTTTGGTTTGAATTAGTGAACTACTGCGAATTTGTATACAGGACATACAAACAAACATACAAACATTCATTTTTATATATATAGATATACCTAATTGCCTTCAGTGAGAGAAAACCTACCCTGTGTTGTCAGGTACGTGGCCCAGGAAGAGATTCTGCCCCAAGTCCAGAGACTTCAACAGCCCTTGACTGCGACCCATTACATCGTCTTGGCCGTCCAGAGCTATCATGCCCTCCTGTAAATAACGCTTGGCCACAAGCCGGTGGAACTTGCCCGGTAGTACGCGCTGGGGGGACCTCAGGATGACAGGCCCGCTGCCCAGGTTATACCTGGCGCACACAGCATTATTTAAACTCGATATGAACTTAGACTTTTTTTTAAGTTGACTGAATTTCATACAAGACCAGGGTACGAAAAATCCACATTAAACAAATTTTAGTAAAGAAATACTTCAATCCACTGCATGTACAATTGTGTAAAGTGCCAAGACTTCTAAACTGTCAGTCTGGAGAGAGATATTCAGCTTGACAAAATAGATATCTAAACAGCAGTATAGAATTAATGGGTGACAATCTATGGATTCGCTTCAAGAGACTGAGTTACCTATATGCCACCATTACCACCTTGAAATTATTTCGTTTCACACCATGATGTTGTATGCTCTTTATCTTACGCCACAATATTCTGCTAGCATTATATTTCATAAGAATTTTAATTATTTTGACTACCCTCATACTCAATCTCATTAGCTTTGAATTATCTTCATCCAACTTCCTCTACTCAATCTTCTATTGATGGTTACTCTAGTGTCTTTAGTATATAGTTGCTTCTAAGAATATCGGAATTATAAGAGTTAGTTTTTATGTATACATAATTTCGTGAACTCTCGGGAGGCAACGAATGCACACACACAAATAAGATAAAATACCTATTCTAATGTCTCCCTGATAACACTAGACTAGTGTCTATCTAAATATAAAGAAGGTAGATTCTATTGAAAATGTATTCTCAGCACTATCTACCTTTTTATTTGAAAAATTATATTTTTCTACAAACCCTTTTAATAATGAGAAACACTTTCATTAGGAAGGACATGGTTCATCTTTGGTAAATCTTCCCTCAACCGTTTCTCCCCCAGTATCTTTTCCAAATTTTTCTCCTGATATATTAGGTCCTGTAGAAAATAGAATTTTAAATAAAATTGTATAAAATGCTGTAAACTCTCAATCTTGTTGATATATTTTATTTTTATTTATTCATTACAAAACACAGGCTATATCATAGTTTGAAAATTATTAACAAATATTTATAATATTACTTGGTAGAATAAAGTTATATTGCCAGTCCAGGAACTTAATGATCATACCTTGTATGTTTGACAAAATGAAATATGTAAGAGTTCAGATATCCTATTTAATTTGTTTTTAGATCTCTTGTTTATATGTGCGTATCAGAATGTTGAGCCATAAACTATTTACTTCTAAATAAGGTATTATATAATATTTAATGATCGTCTACTATCCAATCCCTACGATTTATTTGTTAAACCGAGATTTTCACTAGTTCTAGTTGTTTTTACAATAATATGAGGCATAAAATCTAATTTTTTCTTGTTTAGGCGATTCTTGAAAGTCAATCCTAATATTTTAAAGCTTTCAGTTGGTTTGATAAGATTGCCATGTATGTTAATTATATCGTTTTTACAGTTAAAAGATTTGTTTCCTATCTTGATATTCTAAGTTTGTTGTTTTCACACCATGCATTTATTTTACCTATTGCATTTTGAATCGAAATTTTAATATTTATTATATCAGTATATATATATTTATATATATATTATTCAAAATAATATATGGATTGCTCTATTTTCAAACATATATATATTAATTAAATGGCATATTTTGGATAAAAAATAAAACAAACATTTTATTTAATACAAATGCCATATTTCAATAGGCTATACGCTTAACTTGGTCAGGGCTTTTCTTGTTTTTGAACTGCTTTGGTTCATCACGCGATGCCTTCACGCGACGATATATAAATATTTACAACTCTGGGGCAAAATTTAAAATATATAAACACAAACAAATATAGATAGGAATAGACTATATATGTACATTTATAAAAATTTAAAAAATAATATATGATTCTTAATAAGTATAATAAAATAATTTTAAATCGATTTGAACTGTAAATATAACGGATGTATGTCAATTTTTCTATTAATACTGTTGGTATCTTTCATTGAGGTCCAACTTTCTAAAAAGAGTCTTTAATGTTTATTTTGAATGTTGTTATATATAATTTCTGTTTTTTCAAAATTTGGTATAATGGTCCTGTTTGAGTGCGTGATCTACCAAAAGTGATAATAGCTATGGTTTTTAAAAGCTGTTTTGTGTTGATTTACTCTTTCTTCAAGAGTTTTACCGGTTTCTCCTATGTAGGTTGCAGGGCATGATTTGCATGGAATGCGATATACTATGTTTGATTTGAATTCAAGATTGCTATTATGTTTAGTGTTGCGATGGCGTAGAATTTTTTTTGATTTGCTGTGGTTTTGTATCGGGTTTTAACATTGTAATTTTTAAGTATATATATATATATTAATTTAAACCAACAACCTTATATTGTATAATACTTATAACAAGATTTTCATGTTGTATAATTGAAACACATTTGTAAATGATTATACGCATTATTGACATGTGTCATTACATCATCATATGTAATGCACTTTGTACAAACTGAGGATAAATAAATAAAACTCTGTAATAGATTAAGAGTTGAGCTGAAGCAAGAGATAGAAGTCAAAAACGTCTAAAATCGAGATAGATTTAGAAGTACCAAAACAACATCTAAAGATAGATAGGAAACTGTCAGGACGGCGCCAGTGTAGAATTTCGCCAGACGATCTACGCTCTTGTTGCATCTGCTGAAATGCAATACTTCCTTTCACGGAAAAGATATATAAAGCCTCCGTCCTAGCCAAAAATATAGTCACTTCACCATCAGCGGAAGCCCTCGTCGGTTGTCACCCAGGTCCACCTCATCGACCATGTAGACAGTAAGAACTCTTTTATCTCCATCTTTCGCTCCTAGCTCACTTTTATCTGTTCACGGAACTTTCCTAGTGCAACTGGGTCTTCGTCTTTTGTGTATGGACATTCCTAAGCTTTCCACTCTGCCTCGACCACGACTGTCTGTACTCCGTGAGAACTGTTAAAGGTCTCCCAAGGTGCAGAGAGCTACTGGAAAACTCTCCACGCCCTGACTGTCCCTCTCGGTTACTACAGGTTTGCCCCTTTCGGTTACCATACCACAGCGAGAGACTCTCGGTCAACACAGTATAGCGAGAGTCGACAGGATCTCACACCATAGATTTAGTCGACAATATTCTACAAGAGTCAACAGGACCTCTGATCACATATATATATTTAACATATATATATATATATATTACCGTTAGAATATCTGCATAACCAATAATTTCGCTATTAGATTTCGAAAAAAAATAGGATAAAAGGTCATTCATTATGATGATTCAAATTGTCGGCAGGATAAGGGTCCTCCTTGCGGACAGCCTTTATTTAATCTTTTAGTGAATTCATTCGAAATGTTTAGGTACTCTAAATCCTATCTTTTGGTCAGTAAAGTATGATTTCATAAGTTTTATTATTGGTGCAAGTATATTGTCTCCATCAAGTCTTATTTTTCATCACCATTGGCCAAAATTCATTTCCAAAAGCTCCACTAATATCGATTGCTATTATAGCCATATACTCCTTGGATTTGTGTCCTAAAGCAGCGTGAATTTTATCTGTTAATGAAGTTATTTAGGACCGAGATTTTGTAAAACCATGTTGGCGATTATTGAAGAACTCCATTTACTCGTATTGTTTGATGATTTTATTGTTCATTATTCAAAAAAAAATCTCGAAAGATTGGAATTTAGATATAGAGGTCGATATCTGCCACAATCTTTGTATTCTGATTTACCAGGCTTTGAAATGATAAACACCTCTGCTCTTTTCCATTCGTTGGGGAAGTAACTATAATACCTCTGATCTATTTTAGTTAGTATTTCATCAGAAATTGTTTTCCGTGTATTATCATATTGTTAGAGATATTATATATTCCTGTGGACATTCCTTCGAATTTAATTTATCAATGACAGCGTTTACCGCATTGATTGTAATTATTGATTTTGTATTCGCGAAAGTTTTAATGTATAGTTACTTGTATATGTATTAAATAAAAACAAAAATGTATATGTATGTATATTCTTATATTCAGCTGGGTTATCTTTAGGAAAAAGAGCCGTTATTAATTATATTAACTTTCCTGTTGTTGTTATTGGTACGATGTTTTTTTTTCCAATATTTGTTGTTGCTTATTCGAGTTACTTCTCTTTTTTTTATAGATTCCCATAAAGATTAGTCAAATTATTTTGTTCTAGAAAGGTCCTCCTTGATATTAGTTTGGCCTTTTTAATCTCCCGAATATATTTATTTCTTGTTCGTGTGTGTTTAACTAAATCTAGTAAATATTTTGAAGAATTTCGAGTTCGGTAATAAAGATTTCGTATATAGAAAAAATAATTTTTAGCATCAACAGTTCTGAATTCTACCAGTTGACTGCACCATAGGAGTATTTTGGAGTTACGTTATATTTTAGTTTCAATGTGCCTGTCACCTTATCTATTTATCCTTTTTCTAAACGACCTGGTTCTTCTGTACGATGACGCTGATTTGCCAAGTATTTATTTACCGAATTATGGAAATATACATCTCCTTCTGTTCGCAGACGACATCGTACTTCTCGGAGAATCCAAGATAAATTTACAAAAAAAGATCAATGTACTCAGAAAATACTTCGAAGATAATTTTTTAACGCTGAACCAGAGCAAATCAAAGGTTATGGTGTTTAGAAATGGAGGTCGAAAGGCCCGATCGGATGTTTGGTTCTGGGGACAATTGCCTCTCACTATAATTTGGGCAAACAACCAAAAAACCTTGGTTGACAGGGTACAAGACAATATTTTACGGATACTTTTAAATTTACCCAGATATACTCCTGGTTTTATTCTACGTATGGAGTGCGGAAGAACGTCACTGGGAGTTACGGTGCTGAAACTTACACTCGGGTTCTGGCTTAGAATTCTAAAAATAAACAGCAGCCGACTCCCCCATATATGCTTAGCTCAACTATATGAGATATCAAGAAATAGAAATATATATATTGGACTTGCGGAAAGTTTGGCCAACATACTCAACTCAACAGGATTTTCTTGGTTAATTAACTGCAATGATGCAAGGATTATCCGGCAAGAAATACCATTAATAACTAAAATTGCAATAGAACAATCTATTCAAAGTGACCAGGCAAAAATAGAGAATTCTAAATTGTACCCTCACTATAAGTATTTACACAGTTCATTCCGAATTGAAAACTATTTACTAAGCAACTTTCCATTCCCAGTAAAACGCTATATCGCACAACAGAGAATACTATATTCGTTTTTCAAGGAAAACCATACAAAAATTTTCAGGGAGGGTGATAAGATTTGTGATCTCTGCAAAGAAAATATGGAAACTGAACTATCTCATTATATCTATGAATGCCAAGATATATTAGCGAGGAGAGAAGGACATTCTTTACAACGGTAGACACCAGCCAACTTAGGTCAATCCAAACG